CAACTCATAAACTACCTCATCGAAACACCTCAAAATCAGATATGTTCCTACATAACAGGGACTGAGCTTCCCTATTATGAAAGTATTTGTTAGTCCAAATTAAAATACATAACTACAAATTCATAGTGAATCTTAATGGTTGTCTTCAGAATGTCCCATTCTCTCACTCTAAGCTGATGATAACCTGATCGGAGGTCAATCTTGGAGAAAAAGTTAGCACCCTAAGCTAATCGAAGAAGTCATCAATCCTTGAGATGTAATACTTATTCTTGATTGTGACCTTTTTCAACTATCGATAATCAATGCACATTCTGAGATAACCATCTTTCTTTCGAACAAAGAGAACTATAGCACCCCATGGAGAAATACCAAGTCTAGTGAAGCTCTTATCAAGAAGTCCTTTAACTGATCCTTCAACTCCTTAAGTTCTACTAGAGCCATTCTGTAAAGAGGAATAAAGATAGGCTGGTATCTGAAGAAGGTCAATTTCAAAGTTAATTTCCCTTTTGGGAGGAACTCTAGAAAGATTATTTGGAAACACTTTCAAAAATGCATTCACAATGAGAACTGACTCAAAAACAGGGGTTGCATAATCTATATTCCTAACATGTAGTAGATGATAGATTTAACTCTTAGAAATTAACTTTCTTGCTTAAGGCATGACCATAGGCACTAAATTACTACCTTTCCACTCTATAACTGGTTCAATCAGAAATTAGAACCTAACAACTTAGGTTTTACGGTAAATAAAGACATAACAAGTATGAGGTCGATCCATACCAAGAATAACATCGAAAGTGAACATGTCTAACCCTACTAGATCAACTGAGGTGATTTTTCAAAAAATTGAGATCGGGTAAATTCTAAAAACTCATTTAGCCAAAGCTGATTCACCAATATGAGTATAGACTCAGAAGGGTTCTAATAGAATTTCAGGACTGATATCAAACTTCATAGCAACATAAAGAGTCACGAAGGAATGTGCTGCTCCTGGCTCTAACAAGGCATAAACATCATTCTGAAAAACTTGTAACATACCAATCACCACATTAGAGGAAACCTCTTATCAAGTCTAAAGAGCATAAAACATGTTCTGACTCTGTCTGCCCCCATAACTATATAAAGTATCGTGTTAAGTCGAGCGACCTGAAGAAAACTAGGTTGAGTCTCTCGACAACCATCTCGATCCTTGCTAGCAGCCGAAGGGGAATCCCTCAAATTATGACCAGTTTTACCACATCAAAAGTATGCACCAAAACCAACTAAGCAATCTCCTGAATGACCTTTCGACACTTCTCACATGTAGGGAATGAATGTCCTCTAGAAGTATTACTGTGAGACTTAGGGCTGGGCACTCTATCCTTGTTGAACTTAGCCAATAAATCACTAGAAGATGGAACCAGGCCTTTGTTTGAACTGATAACGACCACCACCATCAGATCTCTGATGAGAGTAGTCAACATTGTCGGTCTGAGGCCTCCTAGACTCCGTAGCACTCTTCTTAAGCTTCTCTACCTCAATCTCTTGAGCATGAGTCATCAACCTAGAAATATTCATATCTTTGATAAATATGGAAGTTCTACACTCTTCCATGACCATCTCTGAGACACGGGAAACAAACTTGCTCATACGGGCCCTAGAGTCGACAACCATAGTCGGAGCATACTTGGAGAGTTGAGTGAATATCAAGAAATACTCTCTCACACTTATATTACCTTGCCTCAAGTTAATGAACTCTTGTACCTTGACCTCTTTCATCTCAAAAGGGAAGAATCGATCTATAAAAACACATTTAAACTTGACCCTATCCAAAGGACCCACTTAAACAACCCTTTCTTCCTTCCATTGCTTGAACCAAATTTGAGAAACACCTTTTAATTAGTGAGCACCCTAGTCTACACTCTTAGCTGGAGTAACACTCATAATCTCAACAATCTTTTGAATCCCCTCAATAAACTCTTATGGGTACTCATCTACCTTAGAACCATATGGAATTTTGGAGGATTCATCCTTGTGAAGTCTCGAATCTTAGTCGCCGTCGTACCCACATTTGGGTTCACGGGAGCTATAACCTCACCGTTAGCTTGAGCAATGATGGCTTGGGCAAGCACTTGGAAAACGTCCCAAAACTCAGCATGAGTGAATCTCTAGCCCAAAGGATCAACTAGAGCTTGTGGAGCTTCTTGTTCCACATTCAAGCTCCTTCTCAGCAGAGCTCTTCTTTGAGGCATCGTTCTAAAACACATAGAATATGAGTTAGAAGGAAACCTTATAGAGTTCAGCTCTATTACACTACTTAGGAGTATTGAAAGAAGTGAAGTTTCTTAAACATCTCATAGACTCCTATTTATAAATTTGGTGCGCTTCACACTCATGAACAAGACTATACTAAATGTGGCTTGTTAGACACCCTAAGACACTTAAACTTAAAGCTCTAGATACCAAAATTTCACGACCTAAGACTACCCCTAGACATGAAATAATACCTAGATTCTCGAGAGACCCCAAGAAAACCACCTGACATAGCATGACACTAAGATAATCAACATAACTGAAATAAAGAGAGAAGCGGAATCGTAGTCTCAAAAGATAATCTCAATATAATACTGAATTAGAGTACAAAAACCATAATGTAGAAGTACTATATCTGACAACAAGCATATACTACATAAATGAGTCGCTAGGACAATCCCTAGCTCACTCTAACATCTGAAACTGAAGTAAATACTAAGTGACATGAAAGTAACATAAGTTGTATGTCTTCAAACCATGAGGACTCACCAAGATTGAGCAACACTGATAAGATTATGTTCTAATTACGAGCCTGATATGGAGTGTCAATACCTATATTATAAAACAATATTGGCACAATAAGGTATGCGGTCAACACTCGAAAAGTACTATGAATGGGAAAAGGTGCATGATCATAACATAAGAACATGATAAGTCTGAAAACATGATAATGCAATGACCAAGTAAACATAACATAAAACTAACCATATATTTCCATAAAACATAATACAAGGTCATGCATTCTTCCTTAAGTCATATCATAACATAGGTATAAATCATAAGCTTTTTAGGAAATCATAAATGTTTGTGGGAGATACCGTTAACCAACAAAATTCATATGAGCTATAACATGGAGTTGTATTACTCTCACACCGAAAAGCGAGTGTCCTACTTGCCAAGATAAGAACCATAATCAAATGATGGTCACGTCATCATATGGTAATAAAAACAAGTTTTAAAAAAATTGATTTCATATATATATATATATATATATATATAACAATTTTATGTGTTAATACGAATTCAACCATTATTTCACGTAGAGCGCTTGCCAATACATACTTTACATTATTCCGAGAATGTGAAGATTGTGTCAAATAATAAAGTGAAGGGTTATTACGGGTGATTAAAAAAATACAAGTTTATTTAAAGTGTCTAAATAAAAAATTATGTTGACTTAAAATAATTATCGATGGATTTGACATTTAATTTTTGAATTAAGCGTAAGATTGGGCATAAATAACAGATAATCTAGACATGTCCAGAGTTATTGTAAATGTATTTCAGTAAAATAGGGCCGTTCAAAATTGAACCGAAATCGATAATCCAAATTGATACTTTTTTATTGATTTAACGGTTTTGATTTTTTTTTATTATCAGGTTATCAATTTTTGACGGTTTGAGATTTTTTCTTAAAGGGTTAACCGATAACCCGATAGTAAATTAATAATTACATTTATACCATTCGATATATAAAGTCCTTGACTTAGGATTTAGTTTCATATTTTTATTTCTATCAATTTCAAACTTTCGGTTATTCCACAATGTGTTAATTTTGTTTTTGAGAAAGATACAATCTATCAACTCATGTGTGGAGTTTATTTGGTTTGTCACCATGCTTTAAAGAGATTTCTAATTATTTATTTTTGTGTCATATCTTAACGGTTAAATCGATAATGATCAATAACCAATAAATCGGTAATCCATAAATCAATATCTTAATGGTTCTTAACAGTTTAGCATGTCTACAAATCAATAACCAATAAATTAAATCGATGAACTTTAAAATCGAACCGAACTAATCGATAGGTAAAAGTGAAAAAGGAAGACCTTTTAATTTAAACATGATACAATAACCAAGCCAGACATAATTGTAACAATATTGGAATTAACAATCAGAAAGCTGAGGAACCTAAAAGCTTGCATTTGGACAGCACATCTGGAAGAAACCACCTTAAACGCTTTTGTCTTGTCAAAATACATGAGTTTAAGTTCCACTAATTTCCCTTCTTTTGTTAAATAAATAAAATAAACTGTAAAAAAGAATGAGTGAAGAGTTCAATTATTTTTCCCACTGAAAAAATGGGAGTCTTTATGAGCTATATCTGGTCATATCTGATCTGATGGATGTACTTGTTAGCTTTTAACTGTTCAAACCTTCTGTTCCTCACCTTTCTGTCCCATCCACTAATATTCCCAAAAGGAATGGCACTGGGCCCTGCTCCCAATCAACCAGCACTCCTTTACCCCCTCTTTTTTTTATTTAATCTCTTCACTGTTCTACTAAGTCAGAAGACAAGATTTTTTTGTTTTCAATCCGGTGTTCGGTAATTCGGATTCTCGCTCCCGGAAGTTTTACATGGCAGTAAAATGCTTTCTAACAAAGATGACTTTATATCCAAATGAACTTGAATTTGAGACTTTCTAGTTAAGAATAAATGAATACTTACCACTCTACCACAACCGTTGTTGGTGTCAGAAGATAAGATTATCAAAAGAGTACTTGTACAGTATGTAGCAATATTGAACCAAATAAAACAACCAACCCAAAAAAAGAAAAAAAAAAAGGAAAATTATGGCCAAGAGAATAATTAAACCCTCCTTACTTGGCTGATGCTTGAAGAAAATTAATTCTCACCTAAGAAACTTAGCATATGTACCAAGCGGAATTTAATTGGATTGTTTTTTCGTTTGTAGAAATCTTGTTATTATGTGTCGGGATTGTTGTTGTTGCTGGTGGTGGTGTTACCGTCTTTGCTCCAATCGTACATGTTGAATGATTCAATGTCCTTCTTCTGTCCCAATTCATTGATATCTCCTGAGAGAGTTTTGGCAAACAAAAGGTTTAGAGGGTCAGCTTCGAGTTCAACCAAATCTGCAAAGAAATCCTCATGACACTGGTTTGATGAGTCTGGTAACATTATTGGCTGATAACTGTCTTTAGAAAACTCCTCATCATCGCGCATTTCCACTAGTTGGTGATTATGGCGCACATCTTCTTCAGCCACCTCTTCTTTTACTTTTGGGTACGCCGAAATGTTATTGGTGGTCTCCTTTTGTTCATCTGTATCGGTTTGGGATTGAGGATTATTTGGTATAATAGTATTGTTGGTGTGTTTGGAATTATTAGGCTGAGACCTTGTTGATCCAGCAAGGGCATTTCTTTGAGTTGGCCATGGATGGTTATGTTCTGACGTGTAGGTGATCACTAACATGTTTGGGTCTGTCCTGCTCCTTTCCACTTGTTTCCTTGCTGAACATCCTTTGGAACTACTGCACCTATAGTAACCCCTGCATATTATTTTATTTTAACAACATGAAAATGCAAAAGTTAAATATTAGTACTACTTTATTTTTTCTCGGTAAATTGGTCCAATTTTCTATTTTGAAGGGGAACAAGTATACTTGCGTACATATTTGTCATATTTATATCCTTTCATTTTGGGTGTGCTCAAATAAACATTAAAATTTATATAAAACTAAATAAGTAGATACACGTGTTTTACATAGAGTATACTCTATAAATCAGTTCAAATGTGTCTCATGCGTAAAAACACGTGTGTTTACTTGTTCAACTTTGTACAAGTATAAGTATTTATTTGTGCTCACCTAAATATCAGTTAAAGCCAAAATTTAAAGTGCAACATGTATGTATTATGTCCAAAATGTTTTTGAGCATAACAATTGAATTTATCACATGAAGATAGTATCTCTTAATTAATTTTCCATGAAGAAGTTGTAGTTAAAAGGTTGAGAGTGCAGAAAATATATAGTGAGTGAGTGACCTTGGGTAAGGGGAGCCTTTGATTGGCTTCTGACCATACTTTCTCCAAGCCCATAAATCAGATGGAACTACTTCTCCCCCTTGCCGGCTGTTTGCTGGTGCTGCTGCTGGTATACACACCACTTTTTTCGCCTGACTCTTTCTGCAAATTAATAAACCCTAATACATAATATGTCCACGTGGGCACATATATACCTTTAAAATACACTATTAAATAGTTGAGGGGTAAAAGGTTCTGCCCAAAATTTGGAATTGTTACAACAATTTCAGTCAAAGTTCGAATATATTTCAGACTTTTTTCCCTTCTAAATTCTACAAAAACAAAGTTAAAAACATAAATTATTTATTCTGATAATATTTAATAACACATACATGATAGCTATTCATTTTTGCTCATGAACTTGTAAGCACATGTGCAAGCTCCGATCCATATCAACAATTAGTGTAATATTGTATCATAATCCTTCATTAATTAGTGTTTTTATCATTAATTGTCAAACTGCTGCTAACTGGAATCTATATGTTATGTTAAGTTCCTGAATCGATCATTCACAATCTATTGCTGCAATTTTAATAATGAATTTTATTTAGCTTATCTTTTCAATTCAACAACAACATGGCAACCGTTGACTCAAAATTTTAAAGGGTTAGGCGTGAGGTGCGTGAGACCTAAACATGTCAAATTTTAGAAGAAATTAAACCAAGATCGATTTGCAATTTATTTTGTTTTCTATTCTACTTGTGCTTTTTCACAAGAAGTAATCATGGAAAATACTTCTTTTCCATTTAGAAGCTGAAAATGATGGCCACAAATTAAAAAGAGATAAATAAGTTGAAAGTTAAGTCTTATGACTGAACAAGTAATTCTGTCTACTTTGATTGAAAAAAAAATATCATCCGGATTTCATGCAAATATAATCTTTTACTTTTCTTCAATTATATTGTTGAAATTAGTTCAGTAAAAGCTAAATTAATATACTATTTGCGTACATAATTAGTTTTCTATCTTTTTTCTCCTTGTTCATATAAAAAAAAATGCAACTCTCATAAAAATCTCTTAAAACTAGGCATCAACCATGTTGTCTTATGGTATTACATAAAATATACGAATTTTCAATTCAAGTGTATAGTATAGTAATGTAGAAGAATTTACTCACCTTCTTTTGATACCCGTATTTCTCGGAGATGAGATCTGTAAGGCAGAGTTTTCCATTAAGCAAGTTTTAGATGAATTAATATCATCATGATTACCAATAACATTATTTTGTACAACACACGCTGACATAGCCAACTTGTTTGTAGGAGAGATCTGAAGCATCCTTGAAAACATATTACCTCGTTTTCTCATCGAAGGAGACGAATCTCCGAAAACACTATTAGTGCTCTCGTTGTTATTATTATTATTATTATCTTCACTAGCTGCGGCCTGCAACATATCAAGATCATGGAAGAGCGGATCTCTCAAGTTACAAAACGGATCTCCAAAATCTTGAACAGATGTTGGTTGTTCAATTTGAGAAGAAGCCGAATAAGGAAACTGCCATCCTTCAGAAATAGGAGTAGGAATAGGAATAACAGTATTATTAGTTGATGATGACTCACCGGAAGTGGTATTATTTCCACCTCGGAATATATCAGCTAAATCACCTTGATAATTATTATTCTCCATCACTTTTTTGCGGCCTAGCTGCACATGTCTTACCTATATACAAATCTCTCTTTCAGCACCAAGCAGATTGTTGATTTGACTTTGATAGTCTATTAATTAGTTTGGTATGTTTTGCACCAAACAGACGTAAACAACATGCACTTAAAAGGCCAAAGAAGCAAAATATGAGAGAATATTGAAACAAATATCTTTGATTTCCTCTAAAATCTTCTTCTTTGGAAGAAAGCAAAAGATAGAGAGAGAAAAAATGGGTTTGATGGTTAGTATGAGAGAAAAGGAAAAAGGAGGTCGCTGACTTTTCACATAAAAGTGTTTATTTCTATACGCAACAAGTGGGGATAGAAAAAGAGAGTTTTAAAACAACTACTAAGTGTTAATTTATTATATTAATCAATTAGGGATTTGAGCTGATTCATTTTCTTCAATGTGTCATTCATCATGCGGATCAAATCAATGCCACTCTTTTTTTTCTTTTTTTTTTTTATATATCATATTTTAACTTATGTTCTCTCTCTTCTAAACATATTTACCCTACAATTTTTTTTTTTTCCTAAACTCTTTCTCTTTCTAGTTTTTAGCATCTCACACATAGTTTAGTTACTTTAATGTGATGATAAACGATTTGACAAAATTGTTCGAATGTACCTTAATCTATTACCCAATTTTCAACTATATATTTATTCATAATGAGAGTTATTATTCTCTTAGACTATTTTAAAGCTGAATTAATTATAGGTCAGAAGCATTTTAATAAATAATTCTTTTTTTTTTAAAAAAAGTTCCCTCTCTAGTCAATGAACATGGTCTCGAATATAATAGTAATAATTTATTATTATTATAATAATAATAATAATTATTATTATTATAATATTTCTCTTACTAAAATGATTTTATAGCGGACAGACCAATATTTATAATTAGTAATTTTAAACCACAAATTTTACAAATATTTCTTTTTAAAAAATATTTTTTAAGAGAAATATAATAATAATAATTATAATAAATTATTATAATAATAACAATTCCCTCTCCAGTCAATGAACATGGTCTCGAATATAATAATTATAATTACTATTACTATTACTGTATTTTTCTTAATAAAATGATTTTACAACGTGCAAACCAACATTTATAATTATTAATTTTAAATCATAAATTTTAAAAATATTTGTTTTTAATTTTTTTTATATCAAATCAAACTATATCACATAAATAAAAACAGAGTACATGGGTTGGGAAATTGATTAACGGCCTCTGGCCTTTGTAATAGCCTTATAGGGGATAAAATAAGATGACCATTCGTAAAATTGACTCCAAATTTTTTTTGTAAACTCTTCCCTCATATTAATTTTAAAAATATATGGAACCTTTTGTCAAACCTTTGAATGTACAAAAGTTTATTATACAGTAGAAATGTTTCGAGATAAATTTTATATTATTTACTATTATTGGCATCTCAAATATTAATTTTCAATCTCTAATTAAACATATGATATCAAATGAAATTTATTTGACTTTGTAAATGATGAATTAAACCATGGAAATTAAGAACTAATTTTATTATTAGAAAATATGACAAAAAGATACGTACAAACTTTTACTCAGTTTTCTTTCTGGACAGTTCTTTTTCAGTTTGAGATTGTATAAGAGATGATGCGTATGCTTAAACAAACGTGTAGGCTCACAATCAGATGTGAACCAAGGATTTGAAGATTTTAGGTGCACTAATATTTATTTTAGCTCAAATATGAGCTCTAAGATAACTTAAAATAAAAATAGTAAAATAATCAATCTAGCTGAATTCGATTCGAACCTAAGTTTGACGGGTGAATTCTCTAGTTTGTATCAATAGCACAATGGTATTTTTATGCATTTCATGGGTATACGGTTAATTATATCCTAATTTCTATCAGTTTCTCAAAAGATAGATATACATTTATATACATGATATTTTTCAAAGTTAACGGATACAGTGCTAGACTTATATAAGAGCAACTTTTTCCAAGAAAAAAAAAGAATGTAACAAAGTAAATATAGTCTGAAGCTAAATGAAAAGAAAAGAAAGAAATCGTTATCCTTAAAATTCTAAGTGGTGGAGAAATCATTTTAAATGAATATATGATATAATATAATTTTTTTCTCCAGAATATTTAAATATTATGTGATCGAAATTTAAACAGGCAAGTAGCCGCATTTCTCGGGTGACGCTTCTAAATGCATGTTATCGGGACAATTGCGTCCAAAGTTAGAATCTTGTCCATTCCATTCCTCCTATCTCCATTATATATAAATACAATCATTACAATACTTTATTTTCCCCTAATAAAAGAAAATCACAATACTCTTTAAATATACATTGGGTAAGAAATCTACATTCATATCATTAAACGGTAAGTTTTAATAAAATAAGGCCGAATGATCTGGGAGACTCTTGTATTTGATTTTGTTTGTAGTTGAACACTCCTACTCATTACTTTGTCAAATGAACACTTAAACTAGATGAAACTTTTTTTTTAAACCCTCTAACTATTGATCGAGCTTATGCGACATTAAAATGACTGAATTGGACAAGTGTGTCGCATTTTGAATCAATTGAATGAAATATTTTTTTTAAAAAACTCTCAAATTATAAGACAAAATCATAATAATAATAATAAAAATAATAAGAATAATAATAATAATAATAATAGTTTTTTTTTTTTTTAAAATAATCTCAAAATCTCCTCCTTTAACCAGATCCCACCCAGCCCACCGCCACTCCTCCTCTCTTCTTCTTCTTCTTCAGCCCAAGCCCCCACCCCACCCCCATCCTTTCTCTCTTCTTCTTCTTCAGCCTCAGCCCCCGCCCCAGCCCCGCCACCCCACCCCTTCCTTTTTCTTCTTCTTTGACGGACACTACACCCATCTTCATAATCATAAAAAAAGATTCAAAAAAAGCTTTTGCTAGAAAATATATCATTCACCATTTTTATATACTTAATTTTTTTAAATCTATTGCTTGAATTTACTCATACACATTTTTTTTTCAACTTGAAGTTTTCTTCATATCTCTTTTTACCAAATTAAAATAAATAGAACTCTAAAGCATGTGCAAGGGTTAACTACAATCTATTACATTACAATGACTAATAAATTTTTGTGATTGAGAAAATTTTTAGGTGTGAAGAAGATAAAAAATGGTGGTTTTTTTTATTTATGGGTGAGGGTTACGGTATGAGAACAAGAAGATGAAGTGGGAATAGGGGAAACGAGTACAATGAGAGAGAGAGAGAGATGCATTTAAAAAAAATATTTTTAAATATTTAATTTTTGAGTCATTAAAATAATAATAATAATAGTACTAATGATAATAATAATAATATTAATAACAACAACAACAACAACAATATGTGTCATTAAATAAATACGTGGAATTTCATATGTAAAATAAGTGTAATATACGCACACACATCGGATGAGAAAGGGGTTCAAAATATTGTGTTTCAATAAGTTTAAGGATTCAGCTGGCAAAGTCGTAAGTACAAGGTTCCAACTTACAAACGGAGTCAAGTACAATGACCTCCCAGGCCATTCCGCCATAAATTAATAATAACTCTTGATTTTTGGTCTTTTCTTTACTTTTAAAATATAAAGCAGGCACAAAAGCTTTACAATACAAACTAGAATCCAAAATTTCTAATTTATGAAATTCTGAATCATAATTTTTTTGTCTATTGAGTTTGAATAAATCATTTATACATATAAAATTAACTTGAGCCAAACCTATTGAATTATGTTGAACCCATAGTGATTATCATGTACTATGAAAAATGCGCCTGATACCTATGCTATTTAGCCATGGTTTCCATAACTAGGAAAAAATTAACCAAAAATAATAATATAATGAGCTCAACATTCTTAACAATCAGACATTCATTATGAACATTCAAAGTAGTCAATCCATCTCCGCCTGGTTCAAGCTGAGCATTTAGGCGAGCAATTTCTACATCTCTGTTTGCAAGTGTTACTTTCATTTCTTCCAATTCATGCTTCATTTTCTCATGTTTCACCCGCAACTCAGACACCTTGATCTTGTTCTCTGTCTTTCCCTCAACACACTTACACTTAATTAGTGTGTTCATCAAATGAAATGATACCTTCACCTTTATTCTTCTGAGATACTAATGCTAATTCCAGGCTTTTCACTACTTTATACACTGCAAGCCGTTCTTGTGGATGACCATAGAAGCATTTAGCAGAAATTCCTATAAACGCCTTTAGACAAGTTGATGAGATAGACCCCACCAGATTCTGATCAATAAGCTTATTAATTTTTCCTTCCTGGATGCATTGTTTGGCCCATGCTACAAGTCCATGTTGTTCCTCAGGTAGTCTCATATCGACTACCCGCCTTCCTAAGAGCAATTCAAATAGTACTACTCCAAAAGCATACACATCAGTTTTCCATGTCAATTTATTAGTCAGGAAGTACTCACGATCGAGGTACCCAAATGTGCCTTTGACTTGTGTACATATAACATGAGTAGTTGATTCATTTCCAGGCCCATGTTGGATAACCCAAAACTGAATTCTTACTTGCCTAGTTTTCATCTAACAGAATGTTTGAGCTTTTGATATCACGATGTATCACCCTATTTCGAGATGTATGAAGGAAATCCAGTCCACGTGTAGCACCTATAGCAATCTCAATCCTCCATTCCCAAGTGAGAGATGAGCTAATTCTGTCCATTTTGAAGAGATGATCAGTAAGTGATCCTCGAAGCATATAATCATAAACTAATACCATCTTATGACCTTCATTGCAGTAACCAATTAGGGATAGAAGGTTCTCATGGCAATGCGTAGATAACATTTTGATTTCCATCTAAAACTCATTCTCCCCCTGGATAGATCCTGGTTTCGATCGCTTAACTGCTACAGTGGTCTCTCCACTATCAATATCCCCTTTGTATACTGTGCCATATCCACTGCTACCAATGACAAAATGAGGACCTGTTAGT